CTCGGCGCGTGCGCGCGCGCGCGTGCTTGGCCGCGGCGGCGGCGGCGGCGGCGGCGACGGCGCCCGCGGCGGCGACCGCGGCGGCGACAGCACCGCGGCGGCGGTCACGGCGGCGGCGGCGGTGGCCGCCGAAGCGCCGTCGCCTCCGCCGCCGGTCGGCGCCGCCACGGTCGCCGCCGCCGCTGGTCGGCCGTGACGGCGAAGCGTTGCTGAGTCCCGATAGCGGCTGGCCAGCGACGGCACAGGCGGCCACCTTCCCTCAACGCGGCAGTGAGCGACCGCTGCGAGGAGCACGGGTCACGTTCACAGCTAAACTTGGTTGGTCTTTGGCGTCAGAAGCCGAGGCAGACAGAAGAGCACAGTGATGTTGCCATTTGAGGCCCAGCGAGCTTGGCCAGCGAGACCTGGACTACGCCCCAGCACGTAGCGGACTGGGCGACGGAGAGAGGTTTCCTGCGCATTCAGGAGCCGACGAGAGCTGGACCGAGGGCCTGGCTATTCTTTGCAGAGCCTCCGCAGGGAGTTGTTGCGACGAGTTTTGCTTCCAAGAGTGGTGTTTTTTGATTACGAAGGCGGTGAGGCCACAGACGGCAGCCCGCCAGAAGCCAAAGGAGAGTCAGTCATCCACGACACGCAGTGCATGGGGTGCTGCCAAGCCGAGGGTGCCCGAAGAGTCGCCACCGCCGACGGCCTCCAAGCCTGGGGCTTCGGCGACGGAGGCATCGGGAGGAGCGACGGCGACGAAGGAAGAGCCAAAGAAAGAGAGCAAGGAGGAGCCCAAGTCGGAGTCGCGCCCCAAGCTACAACGAGGTGAGGACGGTAAGGCCGTGGGAAAGCACGCTACCCCGTTCTCGAAGTGGTTCAAAGTTGTGCAGTGTGCTGGTGAGGGCGACTGTTTCTATATTGCAGCAGGTCGTGGTCTTCATCATGTATCACCGAGTGGTCGTACGCCGCCCATCAACGCTTTCGAGCCGAAGGGACCGATTCAGGGACACCTTCGAATGCTGGTGCAAAGAGCTGGACTAAAGAAAGTGTTCGGAACGACGAAGCTTCAAGCCGAACATCACGGTACGACTGGAAATCCTGCTGGAGCCCTGGCTGTGCGTCTCCTGGCCCACGAGGCGAAGACGGACATCTACGTTTGGGCGAAGGATACCAATGGGAAATGGATCTTGTACGGACGAGAGCCGAGCACATATTCAAGACTTACCTGAGTTTCAGAACACCCTGCGCCTTTTGCGTGATCAAGCCTTCCCATACCCACAACACGGACTTCAAGGAAGTGGTGAGGGGGATGATGAGGATATGTTATCACTACTTGGTCTTCGGAGTACTGCATCAACCCACTCGGGAGCGATCGCAAGTATTCTGGGATTGGATGAGCGTGCGGATGAGATGCAGAGTATTCTTGGACTCGAGTCTGGTGGAGCTGAGGCCCTTGCCGCCGAAGCCCCAGGCGACTCGGACGAGGCTTGCAAACAGTTCTGGACGTGGCAGACTGGAGAGCATTATAAGGGTGATAAGTGCGGATGGACGCCCGATACCTCTGATGGTGTGATGCGAGGGCGACGTAGGTATAAGTCTTTGCTGGGGGTGCAGGCGGACAGACATTGGAGGAAGTGCCAAGGGAAGCCTGCGCCAAAGATCGGGAAGTTAGTGCATTCTCAGATCTCCCAGTTCCTGGCCAACTCAGCCAAGATCCGAGAGAACATGCGCCAGCGTGTCTGGCAAAGCAACTGCCGTGGAAGGCGAAGCTCCCTGTTCGAATTCAAGAAGCGGTTTGTGAGTATGATCCTCGGACGGCGTTATCTATCCCCTGTGCCGAGAAGACCTTGACAGCCTACAAGTGTACACGGTGTGGTATCCAGCGCCCTCTTGGACAGGCGCCTTGGAATATCTGCAGTGGGAGGCTGAACAAAGTGATGCGGAAGCAGTTATTGTTAAGTACGGTTGGTCTTTCACGTATGCGGCATTACTTCGAGGTCGAGGCGAGACGCATCCAGCGCAAGAAAGCCAACTTCGGAACCGACCAGCGGGCGGAGAGGAAGAAGTCCCGGGCCGAGTATTCGAAGCGGCCAGAGCACAAGGAGGCCAAGCGGCTTCAGAACAAGAACCTGGACAAGAAAAGGTTGCAGAAGGGCCCTGAGCGCGAGCGCTACCTCCAGCAGAAGCGCAAGCGGTCTCGGGAAGCCTGGAAGCGGAAGTGTGCGGCACGCTCAGCATCAGCGTGCCCGTGCTGATGATGCCCCGACCCCCGCGACCCGCTCCGCGGGGGTGGGGAGGCACCGGCGGAGAGCGGCCAGCTCGGCGAGCTCAAGATGGCCACCATCAACGTGACGGTCCTGAACGCCGCGAGGCTGGAGGAGCTGCTCACTCACGACGACCTGAAGGACGTGGACTTCCTGGCCCTGCAGGAGGTTCGCTTGCATACGGAGCGCCCAAGTTGGGTGTCTGCTGCAGCGCAGAGGCTGGGCTGGCGGTGCGCCGTCAGTGTACCGCCTGGCAAGAACGCGAAGTCGATCACGATGCAGGGGGGTGCGGCTCTTTTCTGGCGACCCCGAGTTGGTGGAGTCAACGTTTTTCGATCCCCGAGTCACCGCGATATATAGGAGTCCGAGGGTCTTTCGGAACTATTGTATCAGCGTATGGTCCCGCTTCGGTTGCGAGTACGGAGTGGATGGATGAAGTTTTGTTGACTGGGTTAAAGTGGTTGCTGCTGGGAAACCTTGGATTGTATACGGTGATCTCAACTGGAGGCAGTCTTATCAGCAGTGTATTCCTATTGATGCGACGGTATGCCAGATGACAGCTCCGACGACCTTGGCGGGAACCTCTCCTACCAGGATATGTGCGTCAGGAGTGGCTGTGCAGCATACGTCAACGGCTTTTGTGCAAGGTCTCCCTTATCATGGACTGGTGTTGTGTACTACTTCCTGGAGTGCCGTGGCGGGGCCCACTACGAGACTCAAGCGCACGGCGATCTTCGGGCTGGACCAGAGTAGCCTGGCTCTCCCCGAAGATATTGATGCCATACATGTGGACGTGGACAAAGTATTGCCTATGCTTGGTACCGCCTATACTATGACACAGCGCTGGGAGCGCTGGCACGCACGGGCCAACCGTGTGATGGAGCTGGATGTCGAAGCTGGCCTCCTCCTGCAGAGTGGAAGTGCTGAGCGACCCAAGGGATCATATCCCGCGTACAGGCCAGTAGCCTCCACACCCAAGCGGCGAGCGAATGAGCCCATCATCTTGTCGCGGCTGAAGCAGCTCGCTCGAAGCATTGCTGAACGACTGAAGCGCAGCCCCCCGACAGCACGACTTGATGGACATCAGCTTGACGTATTCATCGATTTCTGTTTGAGGCATGTGATTGACAATGGGTGTGCTGGCCTACCGAGCCTGGGCATAGCCCATGACCGAGTATCGGATGCAATCGCCAAGCTTGAGCGCCGTCTGCGCTCAGAGGACAGTTCGACGTGGAAGAAGATCTTCGCCAAGGATTCCATCGACTCTGAGTGGTGGAGAGCGGCCAGCTCCGTCATGCACGACCCAACGGAGTGCCCCGCCTTCACAGCCAATGATATGACAGAAGAGTGGCGCAAGATATGGTGCCCAGAAGGTTTTGATGGTACCGCGTGTGCAGCATCATGGCTATCTCATGCTCAGCGTATGCGTCGACCCATTCCTCAGAGCAAAGCCTGTGATGGGTGGATGCCGAATTGGATGCAATTCTTACGGGCCATCGCCCGTGGAAAGAGCAGTGCTGGCTACGACGGCTGGACGGCCCGCGAGCTGAAGCTGATGTCCTCGACGCTCGTGTTCGTGATCCAGGACCTGTACGACCTGTGGTTGGACACGACGAAGTACCTGGAAGCCAACGGTATGTCTGAGACCGTGGTGGTATCGGAGCGGCCCGACGACATCGTGAATGTGCAGAAGTTGTTGCTTTCTTGGAGAGTGGTTGGTATACCAAAGAAGCGTGGTGCCTCACGCCCGATTGGCGTGGCAAGTGTACCCTTGAGAAGCTGGCTCACAGCGTGTGAAGAAGCGGTCAGGCAGCACAGTTTGCTTGTAAGGCGGAGACGTCGGTGTGCCATGCTGTATGCAGTTGGTCTCGAGCGTGTGCGTCCGCGCAGGCGGGCATGGAGCGAGACCTCAGCAAGTGCTACGACCAGGTCCCCCACGAGGTGGGGATAGCCTCTCTTCATGCCGCTGCAGTTCCTTCGGATTTGGTGGCGGTGTCTTTTGCCGCGTGGTCTGGACCACGACGTTGCCAAGTAGCTGGAGCACTATCTGACTAAGTGGTCTGGCCATCTCGAAGCTTGGCCCAGGGAGACTCCTGTGCGCCCAAGGTGCTCTGCTCGGTGCTCGCGCCCTGGGAGGTGGAGGGCGAGCAGTTCCTGTTCATGGATGACCGCTCCCTGGTGTGCAAAAGCGACCAGTAGCTGATCGACGACCTCACCACGACCGACCGCTTCGACGCCGAGACGGGAGCCGTGGAGAACCGCAGCAAGCGCCAGGAGTGGCATCGCGGGAAGTTCCGCCGCATCGAGCACATCGGGGTCGAGACCGTCCCCGATGACCCCACGGCTCCTGTTACACCGGCGGGAGGATGGAAGAAGGTGTACGCAGCCATCGCTGCTCTACGACAGTTACCTGGAAGTTCACGTACGCGACTCCGAGCTGCTGGTGCATATGTTATACCTCGATGGCTTTGGTGTTGCCAAGTCTTTACATTACCACCTGTGGATGTGGCTGCGAAGCTTATGAGCTCTATTCTTCGGACAGAATGCCTTTGGTGGTGCCGTGGACGCTTTTGGCCCTTGCATATCCAGTACCACCCTGTGGATTCGAATGTTCTCACGGCCGTGCGCCGACTGACGGACTGGGAGTTGGACTACAACCCCTGGATCGAGCATAACCTGCAGACCTTCTTCGAAGCGATTGGTTTGGTTTTTGTGCAGTACGAGGCGGAGAGAGGCATCAGATTCCAGTTG